CTTAACGACCGTTGCAGCCATCCTGTCGTCAGCGTGATCAAAATTCAGATGCTTGGTCAAACGGGCTCACATTTACGATGGTTGCAACGTCCCAGGATAATTGCGATGGCCTTTTGCTGAACCAGCGAAGTCGCTGGGGAAGGCGGAGGGCCGACGTCACCACTGCAGCGATTCTGTTGAACACAATTGTGCCCAGAAAGGTTGTTAAAAAGGGGAGCCGAACCTCCCTTAAACAATGGCCTTGCTTAGCAACGGAGACCTGTGGCCATAACACGACGACTCCCTGTTCTAGCCCCGGGCCCAAAGCCAGGGAATGCTTTGCAAACACAAATCTTACATTCTTCCAGGATTCACTTTCTCAGCATCACTCCCGTCTCTTTTTTTCTCCTTGGATGTGTACAGTATACCGTTTGCGAAAGGTCTCTTTTCCGGGTTCGAAACCCCCTCCCTCTCTCGCTGAGTTATTTACGATCTCCCCTTATTGGGGAAAAAAAGTACGACTCTCGATTGCAAAACCGCCCACTCATTTCCCCCCCCCCTCTTTTCGTCTTCTCCCCCTTTTCTCTCTTCTGGCAGTTCTCTGGCTGCCGGCTACAGCGTTTGCCGCCCCCACACGCTGCAGCAGAAGGTTGCTTGGACGACGTTACAGAGCCTGAATTACAAAGCGCAGGCTCTCTCTCTCTCTGTATGTGTGTGTGTGTGTGTGTCTATACGCAACTCCGAGCTGCTAAATTTAGCCGGCCCGTTGCTGTTTTTAGCTCCTTGATTCAGAACCCAAATTAGCAGAAAAGAGGTGAAGGGGAGACAGAAAACTGCAGTCAACTTTGGCAAAGGGAGAGGATGGATTTGAAGAAGCGAAAAGGGGAGAAATTGAGGACCAGGAAAACAAACCCTTCTGCAGGCACCAGTTTGCCCCCTCCCCAAATGTTTATCTCTCTCTCCCCTCCCTCCCCTTTCTAAACCCTTCTTCCCCCTCCTCACCCAAGACCACCAAGTATTGCCACAATGGCAGTGATTCACGGTCACAATGCGAAAATGATTCACTCCGTTCCAGTCAACGCTCAGCTGGGAGTTGACCTGCCTTTCATTCTGCCATCATCTTCAGTCTAGAGCTGGAAGGGACCCTGGAGGTCTTCTAGCCTAACCCCCCTGTTCCCACAAAGTCTCTCCTTTCTTGACCCCCCCCATATACTTGGGCTACTTTCACCTACCCCATCCTAAACCCAGGTTCACGAAAGCCGATGAGCTGCATTCCTGGTCACCATGCTTTATCCAACCCAACAGTAGGTAGTTCTCAACTTATGACCACAACTGGGCCCCCAATTTCGGGGGCTAAGCGGTTGTGACGTTTTTGCCCCACCGTCCTACCTTCCTGCCCACCGGCGTTCAGCAAATCACTGCAGTTGTGACCCGGTCGTTAAGTGAATCTGGCTCGCCCCTTCGGTGGTTCATCAAAGAGGATCACATGATCCCAAGGACACTGCAACCGTCATAAATATGAATCGGTGGCCAAGTGGCCGAATTTTGATCATGTGACCCCAGGGATGCCGCATGGTTTGTGTGAAAAATGGCCCTAAGTCGCTTTTTCAGTGCTGCTGTAACTTTGAATCGGTCACTAAATGGGTGATTGTAAAGTCAAGGGGGAGGCCCAGTTCACTTAACAACCGTGTCACTAATTGAACCGCCAGGAATCCCTTAAACACTGTGGCAAGAGGGGTCGTAAAATGGAGGCCAAACTCATTTCGCAAATGTCTCCCTGAACCACGGAAGTGTTGGGCCTCAATTGTGGTCGTAAGTCAAGGACAACCTGTAACAAGAGAAAAATCAAAGTGTCAAAGCAAGTTTAATTCCTCTTCTCATCCCAGATAAAGTCCAGGTAGTTTGATTGGCAGTTGTGTAGATGTGATAGGCCACTGACTATTCCCACCATGTTTTTTTTTTTTAACTTCTCAGTCCAGCCTGTAGCTCCCGAGATCTCCTGGTGGCCTTCCATCCATGTCCTAAGCAGGCCTTGGCCTGTTTAAGCTTGCAGCCCCAGGCAATGTCAGCCGAATGCTGCCACCTGCTGGTGCTTTCAAGAAGCTTTCGTAGGATCCTACAAATCAAATGTGGCTCCTGATAGCTTCATGGCTACTATGTCCATGCGATTTTCTTGGCGAGGTTGAAGTAGTGATACCCTGCCCCGTCCCCTTGCAACATCCTTGACCTTCCATATGGTCTCCACATCAAATCCTAATCAAGTCTGACCTTGCTAGAGACCAGCCCAAATTGGCAAGGCCTTGCATGGCTTGACAACGTTTTGACAATCTCCCCACGAGTTGTTTCTTTTTCTTTTTTGCAAAAGCCCAAGGTTTTCATTCCAAAGAACATAGAACATGAACATAGAACATGGAATCTTGCAGAGGTTCCTAGGCGGTAAAATCCACATGCCCGGGTCATCCAACTGGATCTGCAGCTTGGAATTTGCAAATTTTGCATCTGTTCCATTTCTTTGCATCTGAAGGGTTGTCGGCTCGTTTCTGGTTCTGCCCAGAAAGACAAGACTAGAGTCAAAGGGAACTTTTTAGGAATTGCTCTTCCTGGATCGGTCGGTTGCATAAACAGTCTGTCTGCATTGCAGAAAAGTGATAATTGTATAACTGTCAAGTCCTCCTTGGAAAATCAACACACATAACTAACTGGAGCTATTATGGTACTGGGTGATGGGAAGGGAAAGGAAAGGAAGAAGGAAGGAAGGAAGACAGGAGGGAGGAAAGAAGGGAGGAAGGGGGAGGAAGGGAGGAAGAAAAGAGGGAAGGAAGAGAAGGGAAGGAGAAGGGAGGGAAGGAAGGAAGAAGGGAAGGAAGGAAAAAGAAGGAAGGGGGAAGGGAGGGATATAGGAAGGAAAGGGGGGAGGAGGGGAGGGAAGAAAGAAAAAAAGGAAGGGGAAGGGAGAGATGAAGGAAGGAAGGAAGGAAAAAGAAAAGGAGGGATATAGAAAGGAAAGGGATGATGGAAGGATGAAGAAAAGAGAAGGAGGGAAGGGAAGAAAGATGGAAGGGAGGGATGAAGGAAGGAAAGGGATGAAAAGAGGGAAGGAGGGGAAGGAAAGGAAGGAGTGATGGGGAGGAAGGAAGGAAGGAGGGAAGGAAGGAAGGAAGGAAGGAGAGAGAAAAGCAAAGACAATATTCCTTAAGACAGGATCCTGCATAGTTTTGGGGGACAGCTTCTAACTTCCCCTCTCCATCCCTCCATCTCTCCTTCTTTCTGGCAACTTCCAAAACAAGGGCAGCATCCTCCAAGCCACAAAAAGAGCCAGTCCCCTCCCACCTCACCTCAGCTTTCACGCCTTATATGGAACGAGAGATTTGTGCAAAAGCCAAGCTAACTAATTTAGGTTATCTCTGCAAAGGAGAGGGGGGGAAAAAGTAAAGAAAGAAAGAAAAACGAAGAAGAATAAGAATCACCCCAAATGGGAGACAGAATGCTGTCACTTTTCATGGTTGCTTAGCAACCGCAGAGCTCAAAAAGAACCTTTTCTTTCCTTTTTTTTTTGCAGGATCTATTTTTGGCCTTCACAGAAGAGAACGTTATTTAAGGCCTGGCTTGTTTATTTACTGGGAATTTTAAAAGAAAACCAGAATAGACTCACCCTTTCTAATGGCTTTTTTTGGGGGGGGGGGGGGGGGGAAGGGGAAATTCCTGGACAGAAATCCTAAATAAAGATATGCTTAGAACACTTTATTTGACTAAATGGGAGAGAGAAATGTCAGAATCTGTTCAGAAAAGTTTTTAAAAATCAACAATAATACTTTTGGAAAAAAGAGAAAAGAACAGATTCACCCCCCCTGGAATGCTGCTAGTAAATATTTCTTTTTATTTTAGAGACTGCCTCAAGAATAGCTTCTTTAAACTACAACCTTACAACCAGGGGAAAATAAACAATTACACATGCCCCCTTTATATAATAGATAGACAGACAGATAGATAGATGGTAGATAGATAGATAGATAGATAGATAGATAGATAGATAGATAGATAATAAGATAGATAGATGAAGATAGATAGATAGATAGATAGATAGATAGATAGATAGATAGATAGATAATAAGATAGATAGATGAAGATAGATAGATAGATAGATAGATAGATAGATGATAGATAGATAGATATAGGCATATAGATATAGATAGATATAGATCAATCGATCGATAGATAGAGATGAATAGAGATAGAGATATAGACACACACACACCATTCTAGGTGGATTTTTCACACGTTTCAGGCCTATAACTGCAATTTGGACATCCCCTTTCTCTCTAGTCTTTGGGCTTTTAAGAGGAAGGGTGAAGAAATCTGGAATAAATCAGAACGATTTTACTTTGGGCCTGACAAAGATCGGGAAAAAGATTGTGAAGGAAAGAAAAAGGAAAAAAGAGGAAAGAATAACACCAAAGCAAAAAGATTGGCTACGTAGCTTTTGAGTAAGAGACGCGAAAGAGAAAAGAAAAGGAAGGAAGGAAGGAAAGAAAGAAAGAAAAAGAGGATCTGAGAAAGAACAAGCCTTTGTTTTGGCAAGAAAGGAAAGAGAAGAAGGAAGAAGATGTTAGTGCCAGTACTAAATCTTTGGGACTGAGAGAGAGGGAAAGAGTCAGGCACGCAGAGATGTGATTCCAACACTCAAGACTCGTTTTGTCTCCTAATTCGGTGCAGTGTTTCCTTAGTTTCCTCCTCCAGCCTCCCCCTTCTCTCACCACGTCATTCAGAAGCCAGTGACGTAGGGTTCCCCCAAGCCCATGGAAGCGGGGGGAGCTGGGTCTGCAACCCTCTCCCTCCATTGATCTGAACAATTCTTCCCGCCCCGTTTTTCCTTAATATGCCAGTGCCCACACTTCCAACCGCCTATAAAAGATGGAAAGCAGGCTCTTCGACAGATCCACAGGCAGGCATCAGAGAGAGAGAAAGAGAGAGGGCGCAAAGACGGAAGCGGCTGAGCTGCACGGATCTTCTTCCCAGCCGAGATGTACCGGTCCACGAAAGGAGCCTCCAAGGCACGGCGGGATCAAATCAACGCGGAAATCAGACATCTCAAGGACCTGTTGCCGATTGCCGAAGGAGATAAACTCCGGCTCTCTTATCTGCACATCATGTCGCTGGCTTGCATCTATACTCGGAAATCCATCTTCTTCTCCAAAGGTAGATTCAGAAGACCGCCGAAGGGCTTGGGGAAGGGGGAATCTAAGAGCGGGGTGGGTGGGTTTACTTCTGAAGTTGTTGGGTAAGGGGCTGCTTCCTTCCTGAAGCGCCTTTCCTTGGGAACTCAACAGGTCTCTCTCCGTGGTGCTGAAACGGCCAACGGGGGGAGTGCACTGGGCTGCTGTCCATGGTGCTGAAACAGCCACCTAAGACTTTAGTTGTAGTGACAGTTATCCGTGGTGCTGAAACCCCTTACAGTTCCTCTCCCTCGACTTATGAGATGCAAAGAGAGGGCATTTAATAATAATAATAATAATAATATTAATTAAACCCCTGTCCTGTTTCTCAACAGGTGCGACTTTGGAAAGCTTGGAGAGCTTGCTTTCTTCCCAGGACTTAGATGATTTCATGCAGACCCTTCCCGGTTTCCTTTTGGCGTTCACGGGCGAAGGCAAACTCATCTATGTGTCGGAGAGCGTGGCCGAGCACTTGGGGCATTCTATGGTACGTACCAGCAGACTTGTGAAGAGGGGAGAGTGGTACCTTTACTGTAAAATAGGGGAAATGACAGCACTCCTCTGAATTATCCTGGGTTTAAGAGCAGACTAACCTTTTGTTTTGCTGAATTACAAGAGCATTTCATTGAAGCCATAGCCTTTTGGTTTCTCCAAGGCTGGGGCTTATTAAATTAGACCTATGGTCTCCATAAGCAGTTTGTCCATAACATTGATAGCTCTTAAGAGATTATTTTCTCACTGGGAGTAAATGCATTTATGAAAGTCGGTTGACTTTGGGGATCCTATGTGAAGCTAAGATTTCTGATGACTCCATGACTAAGAGAAGAGTTCAATTTCACAACTGTTTGTCCTCTTCCTTATGCCTGCAGGTGGATTTAGTGGCCCAAGGAGACAGCATCTACGACATTATTGATCCGGCAGATCATTTAGTGATGAAGACTCAATTGGCATTGCCTTCTCCATTAAATACCGGTAAGTGTTCCTTTGTGGGAATGAGTGTTGTGCAGGAGAGAAGGGAAGCAGTAGACATTGTGGTTGGGAAAGGAATCTAAATTAGCGTGGTTGACTATTTAAAAGTTGACAGGTTGCATGTTAGAACAGAACGATGCCTTGCTGAGCTTAATTCGAGGGAGAAGCTACGAAAGCTCAGCTTTTACCAGAAAAAAACTCACATTTGGGAGCTGATAACATTATGAATGTGATGGAGTATGGAGAAAAAGCAGCATGGCATTTTCTGGAGAACAACAAGCCTTAAGGCCACTGCTTGTCAACCATAGTTGCTTGAAGATATGTGGACCTCAATTCCCAGGTCCACAAATCTTCAAGTGGCCAAGATTGAAAACGTCATTCTAGCATGGAGTTTTCCAATCAGAGGAAATTAACTCCATTCTTGTAAACTGTGATTAAGAAATTTATTTAGAAATACATTTCAAGCAGAAAAAATAATACGATTTGCCAAGTCTAGGAGAGTGGAACAGATCCATGCTTTCTGCTAGAGTGTCAACTCATAAAACGTTTCTATGCCCGTTTTACAGTTGCCAACAGAAAGGAGGGGGGGAGGAATTTGAAAAAAGCAGGGAAGCAGTTTGGAATCAAAAGTGCATTCCATTCATAACTTGCAGAGATTGTAACTAGGCAACCGGAGTTTCTTCCAAGCAAATCTCTAATTGGAGAACATGATTGATGACTCTTGGCTATGGATGTGTTTTGTTGGAGAATATGAATTATGCACTCAAAGGGGTGGGGGTGGGGGAAACCAGGGTCAAGGATGACAGTGAATTATGTGTCTCAGAATTGGCTTCCAACAGGTCCTGCCGACAGGATCTAATAAATTCATTATAGGTTTTGAAGTTTGGCTTGAGGCTCATGATTTAATTAGGGCAACTGCCGGAATCCTGACAGCAAACCGACATAGAGATAGGCTCAGCAAGTTGATCGTTTTGAGTATGCTTCAACGTATTATGTCTTTTCTGGTTTCTCAATCTTCTTCTTCTTTTTCTTCTGTCCCTCAAACCAAAACAGAACGTCTCTTCCGTTGTCACTTCAACACTTCCAAGACAATCCGGCGTCAAAGTGCAGGAAACAAGCTGGTTCTGATTCGCGGTCACTTCCACCAACCTCCTCCGGGTTCTTATTGGTCCACCAATCCTGTCTTCACGGCCTTCTGCACCCCTCTAGACCCTAAGCCCAGAATGGGTCAAAATTCGTTCTTCCTGTCTGCTTTTGAGAGTCGCCACACAAAAGACCTGGTCATCGTGGATATCTCTGAAAGGTGAGAGGCCTTATGGAAAAGTTGAAAGGTTAGGATTAACCTAGGATTAGGATTAGGTTAGGATTAACCTCTCCAAATTTGGCAACTTTAAGACTGGTGGACTTCAACTCCCAGAATTCCCCACAGTCAGCCATGATGGCTGGGGAATTCTGGGAGTTGAAGTCCACAAATCGTAAAGTTAGAGACTCCTGGACCGACAAGAACATAAGGAAAGACCAAGAAGGAATTTGGGCTTCTTAAGAAAGGAGCCTCTTCTATCCACCAGAGGGAAAAATGGCACCGAATAACCAGAGTGGATGCAAACAAACACGCCAAAAAAAATCTGCTGTATTATTTTTCCCAACTATTTCTTATTCAGTTTAAAAAAGAATTGTCGTTCTTCTCAGATGGGACTTTTTCAGAGTGGGAAGTGTGAGAATTCAGGGAGGCCCCGCAAAGTTGAGACTTCTCTTCTGACCAGTGTTTGAAGATGGGTGGAATTGAGTTGTGGGCTGGGGGATTCTGGGAGTTGACATTCGCCCATCTTCAAGCAGCCAAGATTAAACTGGTTCAAAACTCAAAAACAAATCAGCAAGGAAGACTTCAGTGCCTTGGGAGCAGAATCGAAAATGTTGGTAGAGGAAGGAACTGCAAGCTCCAATACCACGCTTGCTGCAAAGCCCTGATCTCTATTTTCTCTTCATTTTCTAGCGTGATCTTCCATCTGGGCTTTGAGAAAAGCGAACTCTTCTGCAAATCGTGGTACGGTTTGATCCACCCGGAAGATCTCAGCCACGCTTCAGCCCAGCATTACCGACTGTGTGAGTTTCTTACCCTTCTCCTTTCATCCAACCCCTTTGGGGCAACCACAGCAGATGGGCGAAGCGGTTTGAGGTGACCGGATCTCTCATTTCCTTTTTCCTTTACTTGTTACTCCAGTGGGTGACCAAAGCAACGCACAAACCGAAATGGTGATCCGGCTCCAAGCGAAAGATGGCATAAGCTGGATATGGATCTACTCACTGCTTCGCTTGGAGAACGTGGAGATCCCCATCGTTTCTCACAACTACGTCATCAGGTAACCATTGTGAACTCTTTCTGGGCTTGAGATATTCTTTATCTTGAGAGTTCTTTATAACTGTGAGGTGGAAGACAGGGATTGGCCCAGAGTTCACCCAGCAGGCTTTCCTGCCTAAAGTGGGACTAGAACTCACTGTCTCCTCGTGATTGACCCAAAGTCACCCAGTTGGCTTTCCTTCCTAAAGTGGGACTAGAACTCACCGTCTCCTCGTGATTGGCCCAAAGTCACCCAGTTGACTTTCATGTCTAAAGTGGAACTAGAACTCACCGTCTCCTGGTGATTGGCCCCAAGTCACCCAGCCGGCCTTCATGCCTAAGGTGGAACTAAAACTCACTGTCTCCTGGTTTCTAGTCCAGCACCTACCCCAACACCAAATTACCCTCTCATTCTGGCACTGATTTTAAACCCTTTGTACAGCTGCCCCCGCTCTCACCTAGGTGACTCAAGGCAGGATACAGAGGCTTAAAACGGCGCGATCAGAAAACAAATGAATCGGCCATCTTTGCTTTAAATCGCTGCACCCCTATTTGGCCTCCTGCTCATTTGCTTCCAACTCCTGATGCCCCTTTGCAGTGGAAGCATCCTGCAAATAAGGAAATCAGGCAGGATAGCTCATCCTTTGCAGAACTCTAAATCAGGGGTCTCCAAACTCGACAGCTTTAAGACTTGTGGACTTCAACTCCCGGAATTCCTCCTCCTCCAGTCAGGTTAGCTCAGGAATTCTGGGAGTTGGAAGTCCACAAGTCTTAAAGCTTGCCAAGTTTGAAGACCCTTATGATAGATGATCAACAGATAGCTATAGATATTGATTAGAGACATGTGATAGATAAATAGGATAAATAGATGATAGATAGATATAAGATAGACAGAACTATAGATGTTATAAATTAGAAACAGAGGATATATAGATATAGATAGATGATTAATATTGATTAGAGAGGCAGATGATGGATGGATGGATGGATAGATAGATAGATATAGATCAGGGGTCTTCAAACTTGACAGCTTTAAGACTTGTGGACTTCAACTCCCAGAATTCCTCCTCCTCCAGTCATGTTAGCTCAGGAATTCTTGGAGTTGAAGTCCA